CTTAGACCAGGCTCGAGAAAAAAAAAGAAAAAAAGAGAAAAAGAGAAAAATCGGTTGAAGGCAGTTGGCATGATAATTTGGTACTTGGTCTGAAATGCTAGCAGATAGTGAGAAAATGGCGAAAATGAAGGGAAATGGGCAAGAACCTACGAAGAAAAGCTTTCGCTTAATGCCTCAGAAAGCAATTTCGGACGAGTTTCCGCAAGCATCTTGCCAATAACCGCTACGGTAGATACGGCTGCACGTATGTACCCATACATCCATGCATCACCGGGAGCGGTTGTCATTGGGAGCGGGTTGTCCCAGGACCATCGGTGCAGTCCAGTGAAATTCGTATAAAGTATCTTTCAGGGTTGGGTTGGGAAGTGGTAGTACCAAACTTCAACAAACTTGAAAAAAAGGAAAGAATCTGTACTTTCAGTACATTTGCGAGAAACATTTCCGTGGCGATCATCAAGGCAAGTCGATGTTCACCGGCCTCCGAGCGCACAACCATTTCGGTCGCCCAAACTTTCGATGCATTCTTCTCCTACATCCAGAGTGTTCACAGCGAGGTTAGTTCAATTTCATCGCCTTTGCCCTATTTTTGGATCCAAGGTGCCCCTTCGAAAGCCGAAACAGTTGTTTGCCCACCTTTATAGGTGTACTATTGTAATTCTTCGTTTAGATGCCCGATATCGGAGTGTTCAGTTGTGGTCCGTCTCAGCTCAATGACCAAATCAGCTCCGCTTGCGCTCGTGGCAATCGGGCTCGAGATGCGCCATCATTTATACACAAATTTGAGACTTTTTAAGTTTTCATTTCCTCTCACAAATTTGAGACTTTTTAAGTTTTCATTTCCTTTGAGTCGTGCAGTTCCATTAATATTGCTTAAGAAAGTCTACTAGGCCGATTCTTGCATGAAAAGGGCCGCTTCGACTTTGTCGAGAAATCCAACTCGTCAGAAGAGAGCAACCTCATTCCTCTTGATCATATTGTCATCGCTACCTTCACCGTATACGTATACCCTCCCTGAACTGTACTCTATGCACCTCCGCCTTGCGTATTCTTTTGAGCGATGGGTATGTGACAAGAGAATCGTAATCCACCGCGCTTGTGGGCGTCGCGTGCGACGTAGCGTCCGCAAATGGCGAATGTCCCAGGTAGTAGATGGCGACAATAGGCAGAACGGAAAATAGTCATGAATGTTTATAATGATGGGTCTACCTGAAGTCTGGTGCTCCAGCTGACAGGTTAACACGAGTTAAGGAAACGTCGCCGACGGAGCGTTAAATTACGATTCTCTTGCCCCTCTCCTTTGAGCGATGTGAAATCTTCAGATGTGAAGAGCACAAATGAATCTCACTGGGAACATGTTCACAATACTCCCAACTTCATT